TTTTGGAGACTGGCTTTAAACAGAGCTTCCAACGCTCACATATGGGCCGTGTCAAATCCAATTACAGCCAAACTCATATTTCACCAAAGTTATTATTATAAGACGACATTGTGCTGTGGATGAAAGGGGAAAAGGGCAGGTGTTTTGGGCCTCCTGGGTTCCCATACAAAAGCCCACATCCATCCATCATTCACTATTGTCCAAAAAAGTCAGCGTTTTAACTGTTTGTTGAGTCAGAAATTGAAAAATGTTGTTATCAATCACATGTTATGGACCTCATCTGCTGCAAAATTGTATTAATATTGTGTTTAATACATGTTTTTATATTAGACATTCTGCTAAATGGACTCTCCTCTCCATGTTACAACATTGTTTAGTCACAGACCTGACAATTTTTGTTTTTTTAGCTCCATCCACAAGAGAGAGACCAGAGAGAAACCAGAGAGACAGAGAGACAGAAGAGAGGAGAAAGACCAGAGAGAGACAGAAGAGAGACCAGGGACAGTCAGAAGAGAGATACCAGTGAGGAGACCGGAGACAGAGGAGACAGCGAGAGAGAAGGAGACAGAGAGAGAGAGAGAAGGAGACAGGGAGAGAGAGGAGGCAGAGAGAGAGCAAGGAGGCAGAGAAAGAGAAAGGAGACAGAGCCTTTTCTCGGCTGCAGCTGAACTTTGCAGCTCTCCCTGAGGGTGAACATTATTGAAAACCATTTCCTCCAAATGAGGCTCTACTGCAGCCCAACTCTGATTAGCATATACACACACACACACACACACATACAGAGTCTCACAGACACCCACACACACACACAGAGAGAGAGAGAGAGAGACACACACACACTCTTTCTATCTCTCTGGACATGTGCACGTGTGCAAAGAGCTGTGGATCTGAAATATATCCGTCCAAACTCATCGTGTTTGACGTGTTTGACAAAATGTAACAAAGACAACATTGAAGATTCATTTTTCCCACTGGGGAAAAATGAGTAGCTCCTCTCTGATGCAGCAGGGTCTAAAAACACTCAGGATCTGGAACATTTATCAACATTTCTGGACAGTGGTTGTCCTGCTCCCTCTGGACCAACGCCTCCATGTGTTTGTTACTATTGCACTTCCTGAGTTTGAAATCTTTAATTCTCTGTTTGTAATGTTTTCTGAAGCGACTGCTGCTGTGATTTAGGGCGACACACAAATACATTTAATAGAATAACTGTTAATTGACTCAAAGCTGTGATCAACAAACAGCAGTCATTATATCCTTATAATGTTCTACACTGCAAATCAAATGATAAAAGCTTGAATCAAGTGCATTCGGACAAGGTTAAAATATATGTTTGCCAATGAGACGAGCAGGTGAGTCCTATTTTTCATTCGAGCAGATAATTTTCTTGTGGGCGGCACGGTGGCTGAGTGGATAGCACTCTCGCCTCTCAGCAAGAAGGTCCTGGGTTCGAGTCCCGGTTGGACCAGGGCCTTTCTGAGTGGAGTTTGCATGTTCTCCCCGTGTCTGCGTAGGTTTCCTCCGGGTGCTCCGGTTTCCCCTACCACTAAAAATATGTACAATAGGTCTGGCATGTGCCTCCTGTACTGGCACCCCCACTCCCAAAAATAACAATTGTAAACCGCTTTGAGACTCCGATGTGCAGTGAAAAGGCGGTATATAAATAAAAAAAAAAAAAAGATTACTTGTCTCCTAAAACGAGGCATTTTACTTTTATTGGCAACCTTTGGCCTCGTATCAAACGTTCTTGCCGAAGTTGAGTTGTTCCTGCCTTATGGACAAACTGCTCATCCACTAGAGCCCTGAACGCAGATATGAAATATTTAGAATCTTGTTTATATCAGGAGTGGACTGATGTCACCACAGTGTTAGCCTCAATGCTGAAGAGGTCGATTAGAGCTAACTCCATCCATCCATTTTCTACCCTTTAATCCATTTCTGGGTCAGGGGGGTGGCAGTCAGAGATGCCACCCAAGTCTCATAGCACCAGCCCCTCACTGACCCTCTGCAGGTGGTGAGTCCACAGGAGGTAGAGCTAACTCAAACTTGCAATTAGAGGGGGAATATGGAGCCGAATGTATGCTAACTTTGTTAGTATACATTCGGCAATGTACAATGTATGCTAACAACTTAGTTACCAAGAGCCAAACGGTGTTCGCTCCTAAAGTCGAGACAGAAGGCTCCTTATTGCTCAATTGTTTGGGCTCATATCTGGATTTAAAAATAGAATGTCACAATATAAACACTGGGATTACAGAGAGCGATAAACCAGGGATGTAAGTGAATAGGAGCCAAACTTTGTCCATGAGCACTTCCCTATTGAGCTAGCGGGTTAACATTGTCCATTTGTATAGTCTATGGTATTGTGTTTTAAAGATGAATCCATATTTGAATGGAAACATCTTCTGGTCCCTCTACAAGCGGCTTCACAACCAAATTAAAATGAGATATACATTATCTTATGGACCAGATTCAGCTCGTGAGCCAGAGACAGAAGAGAGAGACCAGAGAGACAGGAAAGAGAGACCAGAGAGAGACCAGAGAGAGACCAGAGAGAGAGAGAGACCAGAGAGACAGGAGAGAGAGACCAGAGAGACAGGAGAGAAAGACCAGAGAGAGAGACCACAGAGGGAGAGACAAGAGACAAAAGCGAGAGACCAGAGAGACAGAAGAAACGCCGAAGAGGCTTAGAGTTGATTGGGGTGCATGGTCTTCTCTTCTTCACTTTTATTTCTGAAACAGTTGATATAGAGATGTGACAGAGGCCAAGAATATAATGAAAACTAGTGATAGAAGCAAATTGTTTGCTTCTATTAAAGAATCTTAATCTATTGCCTATTTTATTCTTATGGACCAGATTTGGTTCGTGGGCTAGGAGTTTAAATAGAGTAATATATATTGTAATAAATATACTACAATAGATCTTTAGCAAAACTTGGCTTCCCATCCTTTCTTTGTGTCTGTCTTCTGTGAAAGTTTGGAGACAATGGGGAAAACAACTTTGTATTTTATGGAAAAATTCGGAAATAGTTAAAGCGTAGTCCCCGTGTTCCTGCTCCATATGCATTTCAAACACTCTCCTCTGGGTCTAGCACCAAAATAGTTCAAAGAGCCTCTGCTTTGACTCCACCAGGGGCTTTCAGGAGCTAAACTGCACCTTTTATCTACATCTTTGAAGGGTATCATCAATATGGAGTTGTATTAAGGACGAGAGAAAAGATAATATAATGTCTAACTGTGAGATAATCAGCCATATTTATTCTAGGAGCCTAACGCAAACAGTAGAAAACAATTTAACCCTGTATTACATGCATTTGTACTTGAAAAAGTGGTGAAAAAAATCTGAAAAAATTGTTAAAGCCACGATAACTATAGTGGGATTGAGAACTACAATCCCCATTTAAGGAAATATTTAGCATTATTTTGAAAATGATATGAGACTGTTTAATATGTATGAAGGGTAAAAAGAACTGTCTGCCCTTCCATGCTGCCACCAGAGGGGGCAGGAGATTTGAGATAAATACCGGCTGCAAACACAGACATTACCAAAAGATTTATATATCAGGTTCTTTAGGAGCCATTTAAAATCAGTCAATCTTTGAAAGCAGTGGCCTCAGAAAACACATATTTGTCGGTCTCTACTTTAAACCGTTCGGATTCAATGTTTACTTGACGAAGCCTGGAGCTTTTCAAATGTGAAAGTTATTGGCTTTAAACACATGTAATTGTAACGTTATTGTTATTTTCGACTGTGAAATTGCAGAGAACCAGGTTACGAACTAGCACCATACAGAAGGCTATCAACACTCTTGTTATCAGTACTTGATTGAACACCAAGGCTGCATCCAAATTCATCTAACGCCTTCTTCAGTACAGACCTAAGAGTGGGGGGAAGGCGGGGTGTTTGGTCGGAGAGTGTTTGGGCCTCTATATGTTGTCTTGTATTCTACTGTATTTGTGTCATTCCGAAAAAGATCTCAATGTTTAAAAGCATATAATTACAAACAAAGAAAAGAGGATTGTTGCATGAATTGGGATGCAGGACATGTCTGTTTGGATTTACACAAGAAAATAAAGTTGTTTTAACATTTGGTCCCAGTGGTAGGTTGCTCTGAGCTCGTCGATTATGTCTATACACAGTAAACCCATGGAGAGGTCATGTCTCCTCTCCCCCTCCTCTCTCCTCTCCCCCTCATTTCTCCTCTCCCCCTCCATGTCTCTGCTCTGTGGTGCTTGTCATATCACTGGGGCCAATAACCCGTGTAATCTTCTGCTCTTTCTGCTGCTTTCAGAAGACGGAGGCGACCAGCGCCTGCAGGACAATCACACCATCTCGCCTCCAAAACAAGTTGGACTCGGGGCGATCCACGAGTTTTATTATGTCTTCTGCAAATGTCCCGCTATGGATTGGTTTGAAAATGTGTAAATCAACCCAAGAACTAAGCAAAATCTAGTTCAGCCAGATCTAAGCATGGATTGGTTTTAGATGTACAAGATCTGGGGGAGAATGCGAATTATTTACCTTACCACTAATATACAACAGGTGCAATGTATTGAAAGACTTTAGACTGGTTATATAATATAGGGAAAAACAGAATAAAAATCAATCTTTCAGCAAAACGTCGAATGCATCGTTCTACTGGTGTAATAAAATCCAACTTTATATTAGAGACTGAAGCTGAGACTAAAACAGACTAAAGCAGAGACTAAAGCTGAGACTAAAGCAGAGACTAGAGTACTATTCCTTTGGGACACGTCAGTGCAGTTTAAAGCCCAAACACTCGAGATTTAATTATGAGAGGATTAGAGCAAAACCGAATAAAAATAAGGATTTTTAAAGAACTCCAATCATTAGAATCAAGTTACACGTGTACTGTCAGTTTGAGATTTTGAGAAGGAGGATTGTAGAAAGGTAGAAGGCTATTTTGTTTAAGCAGCTAATTTTCAACATACGTTGAAAAACAGCAGCAAAAGCCAAAGCACAAAAACAGCAGTCTTACCGGGCCTGGGCGAGGAACTGCCGGTCTATTTCCTCGTAGTGGTGCGAAGGCCGGGTTTCGTTCTGTCTGGGTGCCATCTACAAAAATACACACAAAAAACACATAAGAAATGGCAAAATGGGGGAAAAAAATGCAGCTATTTTTAGCTTTCCTCATTGAAAACAGAACTGGAGTTGGATTCCACACTAAATACTATGTCTTTTGCACAATCATGAGCGCTGATCAATTAAACAATTAAATAATGGGAATATTTTAAAAGATTTTTTCAAACATTTAAACTTCTGGGCTTGAAACAGCAGGACATTCCTTCTGTAATTACCAATAGACTTCCTACATTGCTCCAGCTCTAGAAATAACATAAATATTACAGAATAAAGCCTTTCCATAGATGTGGCTCTTAATACAGCAGGTGATGTAACCTAGTCTCACACTCCTCCAGTCTGATGAACTGGTTCAAATATAAGATTAAAAAAGCTGGTGTTTCTTGGCGAATGGGAGTCGTATGTTTATGGGCCGTGTAAAGGCTGATTGATGGACTGGCACTAGTCTTATTGCATTTACTGTATACACGTTGACGTCAACCGGCTTTTCATTTAGTTAAAAGCAACGCGTAACTTATGGTTTGCCACTTCCTGCTGCCTGGACCAAATAAATACAGAGCCTTGTAAAAGTATTAATACAGTCACAAAGAATTGTTGAAATATATTTTACAAAAAGACCACAACACAGCTGTAAATTTACAGAAAAGTAATACATGGTTTTGTCATTTAAAAAGATTAATCAAAAATTAGCTCAAAACAGTGGGCGACAGTAGCTCAGTTGGTAGAGCATTGGCCTTTAGGCCTGAAGGTCGTGGGTTCAATTCCCACCTTGACACCTTCTCCCACTGATGTCTGCTGTCGTTGTGTCCTTGGGCAAGACACTTTGCCCAAAGCCCCCGCTGAGAGATCATGGCTATGCTCACATTGACAGACCAGCCATCCTCCTGTGGACTCACCACCTGCAGAGGATCAGTGAGGGGCTGGTGCTCTGTGACTTGGGTGGCATCTCTGACTGCCACCCCCCCAACCCAGAAATGGATTAAGGGGTAGAAAATGGATGGATGGATGGATGGCTCAAAACTTACATTGTTTATCCCTAGCAATGCACCGTCCCCATTGTCAAAAATGTGGGTGACAGCATCATGTTATTGGGCTGCTTTTCTTCAGCAGGGACAGGGAAGTGGGCAGAGATGATGGGAAGGTGGACGGAGTCAAAAATATAGGACATTATTGAGCATGGAGCTGCTGGATCTGGGGATTCCACAGTATTAACTTAGCTGTATGAATACTTATGCAAACAACATTTTTAATAATATAATATATTTTTTCTTTCACTCCACAGTTGTCTGTTACTTTGTTGTGGTCTTTCGGTAAAATCTTAGTGTTTGAGGCTGTCAAGGGGTCAAAGTGTATTAATTCACTACAAGATACATCGATTTCATTGGATCAAACACAGCTTTCATATCAAAACATAAGTTGAATGTGTAGAAACATGAGCTTTACTTCCTGCTCGGTAAAACCAAAGAACTCACCACACTACAGCCTAAACAAGACCCACAAAATTTAGGTTTAACTACAAAATACATGACATTTAAAACACGTCTCAGTCTCCGATAAAGAAAAACAGCTCTTGTAAACGGCAGGGTTTGAGAGCGGTTGTTTGTGGTGAAGGCAGAGAGTCTGTTATCGAGGAAAGTGCAGCAGACGTTAAAAGCAAAACGAGAAATTCCGGTTTGAATGAATGTAGCTGTATTTACAACAAAGACTGTATACTGATGGACAATGCAAACATAGACTGTATACAGATGGACAATGCTAACATGGACTGTACAGAGATTAGGGCTGCAACAACAAATCGATAAAATTGACAATGTTGCAATCCCACTAGCTCAATAAAGCCTGACAAGGAAGTGCTATGGTCTCTATCTGGTCTCTCTCTGGTACCAACCCACTGCATTGTGACTGTGGACTTATTTTGAAAGAAGTTTGTTTTGACCCTGTTATTTTGACACATTCCTGTCTTGCCCACAGTGAAAAGTCAACACAGGTCTAAACGACACACCAACCTTTCTAAATCCAGTTTAAACAACAAAAACACATTTAACACTGTCTTCAAACCAGTGGAATGATTCAGGCCACAAAAGCAAAAACAGATGAATATTTTTGATCTCTTTGACGCTTCTTGAAGCTGGACGACCATCACGTTTCTACAATGTTTTCTCATCACGCCGCCCTTCCAAGCTCCTCTCCTCGCATCATCTTTGAAGCGTCTAATTTTGAGAAAACAATTTGGTCTCGCGCTTCACCCACACGTTTATCATGCTCCACAATAAACCCAAACGCCTGGAGCTGTTATGGTAATACAGTCTGTGGACAAAGAAGTCATTTTGCCGTCTCATTCTCTTTTCTCATTGTCCGATGACTTATTACAAGGAGCACAATAGGGACCCCCACCGTGGCCTCATTTTAGCTCATAATAGCGTTTTTTAGCATAATTTTGCCACACAGAAAGGAGAAAGGCAAATGTGATATGAAAAGGGCCAGCTAGCTACACAAGCAACCAGAAGATTAGCATAGATAACACATAAAGGAGTTAATAAAGCCCAAAATGAGCCACAGCAACACAAGATTGTTATCTAAAGACTGAAGATGGAAGGATTTTTTTTTATTGACTTGGTGAAAAAATAAATATATTCTACTAGGATGACACAAATCTCTAGTGTCAGCCCAGGCTTTTTCACCACCTTTTTATGGACCTATTTTAGTGCAAAATCAGCCACAAAGTCTAAACAACAATTAAATATGAAGGTTATCTAAAAACTCCTAGATATAGCTGCGGCTAAAATTGCCACATACTACCTTTTTGTTTCTGTAAAGTTGCAGAAAATTGGCTGAGTTTAGAAGAAGTTGCAAGGTCGCTCTAATTTTGCGGAGTTTGCTTGATTTTGCGTTAATAGTTGTGATCGCAATATCGCAAATTTCTGGAAGGACTGATTGGTTAAATTCATAGACACAACTTACCATACACAACGAACTTCCACTTATAAAACCCTTGCTACAGTACAAGCTGGTGTAATGTGAGAAAGCTTTTTCAAACAAGAGACCAATTTGAATCAATCACAACAATTTGGGAAAACAACAATAATGGAGGGATTGCCAAATTGTCTCCCATTCCCTAGACATCAAACTGCTAAGTCAATTTAGCCAATGACTTTATATCTCCATCTTTGCAACTTCAAACACATCATAATTAACATTGTGATTGTGTTTACCTGTGCGTGCCAGCATATTGTGACATTACAGCGGGCTTTCAGGCTAGCTAACCGTTTGTGTACGTTTGTTGAGTTGCATCTGGAGTTGACTGAGGCTTCCATGTTGATTAAAAAAAGAATCCGTCGTGTTTGCGAGGAGGGAGACGGAAGCCCCCAAAGTGCTTCTAATTGAAAATGCATGCGTTTCTTTTTCCATTTGTCCTGTCAAAACGGATTGCCTCATCTCTGCTTTTGCGGGAAGTACGGCTTTAAATGGATATTATTATCACACAATATTTCTCTACAATCTGGTCTTTAACATGATCTTGAGAATATGGAATACGATTGAAGTATAATTTAGACAATAAAACCAAACTTTTATAGGCTGTGGTTAACATGTGGTGGGTCTCTCTCTGGTCTCTCTCTCTCGCTCTCTAGTCTCTTTTTCTAGTCTCTCTCTCTCTCTCTAGTCTCTTCCTCAAGTCTCTACCTCTAGTGTCTCTCTCTATTTCCAAAGTCTATTTCTCTAGTCTCTCTCTAGTCTCTCCCTCTTGTCTCTCTCTTTAGTCTCTCTCTCTAGTCTATAGAGCTTCGGAAGGTGACGTCACGTGCCGACGTCACGTAGCAAGCGCCGCCATTTTGCCGGTCCACTCCTGCTAGCGACCATCGCTAACAAACGTGCTAGGCTGAAGGCAGCTAGATAAACGGCAGTGATGGTTTGGACGTGTTCCATATTTGGCTGCAATGTAAGGTCGCACGACCGAAAAGGTAATAGGATAGAGCATGGGCTCTCTTTTTATGTTGTACCTGCGTGGAAGAAACATGAGGGAGACCAGGTTTCTGATGTGAGCAAAAGGAGACGGCTAGCTTGGTTAGCAGCAGTGAGACGAACCGATCTCAATTTCTCCTCCGTCACCCCCAAACATCTGCTGGTGTGTTCCAGACATTTTATATCTGGTAAGTTCTAACTGTTGTTTTTCTAATACATGATTGTTACAATCAGTCCCGGGTTAGTTTTCAACGTCATCTCCTTTGTAAGGGAATAAAGTACCGGCTATTTATGCATGGTAAACAATTGCCATGAAGTCACTTTATTTACTCTTTTGTCGACCTTTAAACATAAAATTCTGTTTTCAACGAGATACTACTACGTTTGTTTCCCTTTGATTATCAATAAGAACCATCTCCTTAGCGTAGGTTGAATGATGCTCTAGATTTAGCCACAACATTTTTCAACATCACTGTGCCTCTTTGTTTTTTACTGTGTTTAGTTATTATGGTAATTATGTTTGCATGTTCCAGGTAAACCAGCGTATGAAATGGATTAAACAAATCCTGACTGGGCTCCAACACTGCATCTGGGACACTCTGAAGTTCGTGCATCACAATCAGACCGTTATGAACGGAGACTTAAAAGAAAGAAAAGAGGAGAAGAAATGAGAGGTAAATGCAAAATAAATGAATAACATGTGGTGTTTCTGTCACGTCATTACCTCCTATGTACTAAATGACATGTTCACTTTCATCATTCCTTGATATAACGGCACTTATTTTGATAAGGGTGTAGGCATTTTTTTTCTTGCATATTTCTTCAAAAAAATAAAGTAATAACTCAACTTTTCAGATTGCTACCCGCATTAGTCTTGGTAGAGAAAAGTTCTTAAGTTTCATTCATAATTTTATATTTCTCCTACAGTACATCTCCTGAATGTTACATCACAAATCTCATTATTGTGTTTTTTAGATTGTTATTTTGTTATTTTAATTGTGAAATACTATGCAAGC